ATCAAGCTGTAAGATGGTGTTATAATTTAAGGATGCATTCTCAGACCATTGCCCACTGTCCCCTAGTTGATATTGGGGCCAGGTGGTATTAAACAAAAACTCCATTTTAGATGTTTTCATTAGGTCAGATCCAAAATAGGATCAATTCTTTAAAATACACCCCAGAGGACTACATTCCAGAATACCTGAGTTATTTCCCATGGTACCAAACCTGGAGACACAGATGCCTATTCAGTATGAAAGTATCTGACCTAATCTTCACTGGCTAAGCACTACCAGATTTACAGTCTACCCCCTTTCTGAACAATAGGACTTATTTCTGTACTCACCAAGGGAGTCTTCTCTCTCTTCCTGGGGCACTGGACACTCTTCTCTCCTCCTCACTTTGGTCACTGTCAAGGGTCCAAGACTTGGTTCTGACTTCAAGGACCAAGATGGGTCTTTCCCAGAGAATTCAGCTGATGCACACTGGAGAAGCAGTCAAAATCTGTCAGCAGAACTCAGGAGCTGGCATTGGTGCTAGTCCCATCTGGGTCGCCAAAATTTGTTACCAAAATAGGTCCCAGCCAGTGGCTTTTAGTCAATCGAGCACACAAGTGAAGAGAGAGGAAGACTGTTTATTGCAGGTGCATGAGCAAAGAGCAGAGAGAATGTTTCTCAAATTCTGCTCCCTGATCTGTTGGAAGCTCAGTTTTTTACAATTTTAAACAAGGAAGTTAATACAAATATCAGGGGTTACATAGGCTGTCACGGCATGCAGGCACAGTAGAGTTATTTACACTTTTTCTTAGCGTATAGAAAAAAATGGTATCCAATTCTTTTCTTGGGCAGGAATTTTTCTGAGACTTTTGGATAACCTGAGGTTTAAACTGGTTCTAATCAGGACAGAACAGAAACTATGTTAAGTTTGCAGTTCAGCTGAGACATCATGATACCTCAGCTGGGTCTTGCTATCAGAAGGATGAGCAAAGACTAGGGAGGGGTCCACATCCCCAGTCCTACTGTGAAGGTCCCCCAGGAGCTCCAACCAGTGGCACCTCCCACACACCCCGTGCAGAACCTCCACAACCTCTCTCAGACAAGAAGCATGGCTGAGGCAGAACCAGCACCCAATCCAAGCCATCCTGAACCCTCTGTCGCCCCCACCCCCAGGCCACACTTTGGAGACCTGGGGGAAAAAGGCCCTAGAAGTCTTGTGAGAAGCAGAACTCATTTCCTGTCTTCAATGCATCCACATCAGCACACCACCCAGTTCTGCACATGCCAAGATGGGCCCCAGATGAGGCTTTCCTTAAGACACTATGGGCAGGGCTGGGCTTCGTTGGGGATGGGACTGGTGTTGGGGGCAGGGCCAAGCTTGGAGGGCAGGAGCAGAGCTGAGCCAGCCACTGCCCTGTGACTGGCAGGCTGCGTTTCCACGTGCAGCCTCCAGCACCGTGGCTTCCTTCTTCATTCTTCTCTGAGATTCAACAGAAAAGTACCCGGAGGACACATGGGCAGCCCAGAGCCCCTTGCACATGAGCACCCTTTGTCCTCCAGGATTGCCCAGCCCCAGAAGCCCCTGGTGTCCCACTCCTCCCAGAGTCCCCACAGCTCTGCCTGGTACCACCACAGACCACACACAGTACCACACAGCACATGTTGTGTCCAGAGTCTTCCTCTGTCATCCAGGTTGCTCTGGTGGTCTTGTTCATTTTGTTTTTAGTCGCCACTGAATCAATTCTGACTTGTGGTGACATTGTATGTGCAGAGTAGAATTGTTACATAGAGTTTTCACGGCTGTGATCTTTCAGAAGCAGACTGCAAGGCCTGTCTTTTGAGCAGCCTCCGGGTGTGTCTGAACCCACAATCTCTGGAGTACTAATTGAGTACCTAACCGATTGTACTCCCCAAGGACTCTTTCCTCTAGGTTGTTGTTAGTCGAAGGCTAGTGGATTCTGACTCATGGCAACCCATGTGTGTCAGAATAGAACTGTATTCCATAGGTTTTTCAAGGCTGTGAACTTTCAGAAGCAGATCGCCAGGCATATCTTCTGGAGTGCCTCCGGGTGGGTTCAAACTGGCAACCTTTTGAATAATAGTTGAGCACTTAACTGCACCACCCACGGACTCCACTTCATTCTTCTACGTGGCTGTGTAATACTCCACTGCCTGAACACCACGTGTTCATTCTTTTTCCTGTTCATGGACATTCAGGCTGTTTCCAATTTGGTAGTGTTACAAATGAAGCTGCTGTGAGAATTCACGTACGTGTCTTTTGGTGGGCACGTTTGCATTCCTGTTAGGTAAATGCCTAGCATTGTAAATGGTCATGGGTGTATATATTCAGCTCTAGCAGATTAACACTACTTTAACTACCCCCCTCCCCGCAGTGGTGTTTGAGAGTTCCAGTTGCTCCACATCCTTGCCAACACTTGGTAGTATGTGATTTCTTTGTTTTCGTATTAGCCATTTTGGTGGGATGAAGTGGTATCTCATTTTGTTTTTCCCGGTAATAAAACTGAGCACCTTTGCATGTGCTTATTAGCCATTTGGACTTCATCTTTCATGCATGAACCTTGAAAACATGCTAAGTAAAAGGAATTGGTCACATATGGTATGATTCCACTTATATGAGATGTCCAAAACAGGCAAATCCATACAGAAAGTAGATTTGTGGTTGCCAGGGCCTGGGGGACAACATAATGGAGAGAGGCAACTAAGAGGCACTGGGCTATTTTGCAGGTAATGAAAACATTTCAGAATTAGATAGTGGTGATGGGTGCACAATTTTGTGAATTTCCCTATCAGATGGTTCAGTGAAGGTCGCCACTGGCAGTCCACCCACATGCACCTCTCACCTGGAGATCACCACCTTCAAATGGGTGGAGACTTCATTTTCTCCAAATGCTGTCCCAGAGCAGTTCTCCTTTTCTATTCAATCCTATTTCCCTCCCTCCCCTCCCACTCTGTCTCTAAAGTTCTTAATCTTCTGGACTCCAATGCTGGCTGCCTTCCCTCTCCTCTGTGACATGGCTCCCATGGGCCCAATCCAGGTCAGCCGTGTCTTCATCCTTTCAGGAGGAACTGTATGCCATGCAGGCCATACCCAAGACACCAGACACAAGAGGAGACACACCTGGCAGATAGGTGTGGCTGCCTGAAGACCCTCCTCCATTGGCCCCTGTGGGTCAGGACCTCAGAATCCCAGCACCGTGGAGACATCGGGTCACAGAAACATGGCACTGCCGACACCAGGGACCTCACTCCAGTCCTGTGACTCTTCATTACATGATCAGCTGTACTTTTACTCGTAGGGATTCTTTGTCTAGAGAAATTAGAGGGTGACTGCACAAGCTGAAAACGGCTTCATCCTGTTAAATTCCTGATACCTTAGAACCCAACCCAGAGTCCTGTCTACCCTTTGGACCAGAGGAAGAAGTACTTGAAGAAAGCAGGGGACAAGATAGTTGACTGTGAGACTGAAGGTGTCAAGGATGAGACCTAAGCGTGCAGAGCAACCAGAGAACTGGTTTACAGCTGAGGATATTTGTAGGTACTGCAGCTCCACGGGATAAAGATGTGGCAGTCTGCTTCCGTAAAGATTTACAGCCTTGGAAACCCTATGCGGTCGCTATGAGTCAGAATCAACTCGATGGTAGCGGGTTCGGTTTTTTTTGGCTTGGCTGCTTCATTCCTTCCTCTCTTCCTTTGATGTTTGTTCCCTTTTCCTCCTCTTCCTTCTTTTCCCCTCTCCCTTCTTTCTCCCCAACCTCCCTCTAGCTTGCAAATCTAAGGGATTGTCAGGTCATTAGCATTGCCTGGGAAAAGACCACATGCCAAGCACTGAAATGTCGTGGGTTTGATGTGATACTTTTCCAAGACTGTTCCCTCTTGGTAATATCTTTCCAAGGGTTGCTCCCTCTTGAGAAACTAGAGACTCAGAACTCCAACAGATTTTAAGGGTCAAGATTTCTTACCCACCCTCTGAGAATCTGATGAAAGGACCATCCTCACAGGAAAAAAAAAAAAGCCTATAAGCATAGACCTAAAAGGACAGGATGCACCAAAGGCAGGTGGGGCTAAGGCCACCCTTGTTTCTCCTATTTTGGGCTCGTCTGATGGGTTCTTCCTGTTAGGGAAGGGTACCCACATGGAGACCCAAAGACACCTGACTGGTTTCTAACTCAAGCAACTCACAGCCTTAATTAGCTCAGAGGCGTTCACTTCAAGCCTCCCTCCATAGGTGCCCAAGAATACAGGGGATGAGGGGCAAGGTGGAATTCCAAGAGAAGTCACCAACGTGGCTTTGGGGCTGTAAGCCAGCCTGACCAGCTCTCACGTGGCTGGTGCTGCACTGCTTCAGTAGGGATGTCCCCAGGTCATCCCAAAACTCAAAGCAGCCTCCTGTTCCTCATTCCCTAAGACCCACCCTCTCCTGCGTAATGATGCCCCCTGATAATCCAAGTCCCAAAGAAGGAAATGATTCTCATGCCGAGCCATGGAATGCCCTGATTCTGTCTTGATGACCCCATCCATGCTGACAGCTGTCCTGTGGCCCTGATCTAGCCTGACTGGCCAAGGAGGTCCAAAGAAATGCAAATTTCACCTTTTTGGCTTTATTTTTATTATCAAATTATTATAGCAACAGTGTATGATATGTAAGAGGAAGAAAACGTACACAATTCCAGTCGCCTAAGAAAACCACCCTGTTCACGTCTCCATTGTCCACTTCCAATCTACATCTACATAGTCACACATCTTTACATCCCTGGAATGACAGTGAATCTTCTATTTTGTAACTTCTCCTTGCTGCCTACCATATTGTAAGAATTCTGAACATGGCAACAACTCTTTAAAATTATGGTTCAGAGGAGCTGTAGGGAACAAGCTAGAAGTGTCCTAAATGAACAACGGGGGAATGATAATGTAAACATAACGACTGAATTTGTTTCAACAACTAAAGCAATGCATCACATTTCTTGGCAGCAGCCTCTCCCGTTTAATAAGAGCCTGTTTTAGTCTTTTCTTAAAAGGAATGACTTCACTGGTCATTCACAAGCAACCTCCTCATCCAATTGCCCCTTGTGAAATGACTTTTCAGCACTCTGGCAGCACTATAACACAAGCAGGTATTTTGTTCAAAAATAACATTCAAAACAAGGTTTCTGTGGTTACTGTGGGGTGGAACATTGTAGAGGCTCTCTCAGCAGTATGCCTTTGCTGATACAGAAAGGACAATATGAGCCCTTGCCAAAAGCATCTCTCACTAACTACACTTACAAGGTTTGATTCTAGTAAGAGCTTGCTGATGTACAATAAGGTGACAACTCCCTACTAGAAGATTCTTCATACCAATTCCTTACTGAATACATTTTACAGGTTCTTTCTACTTAAAGCGCTCTGATGCAGACGTGGGCAGGTGTCTCTGGGGAAGTATCTTCCTCATGTTCACAAGACAGGTTTTATTCCAGTGTATGTGCTATCACGTTTGGTACAGGCTGAATCATCCCTGAAGGCCTTTTCCACATTTATTATCATCTTATATTTTTACTAAAATTTCCCCAATTATAGACTTAACAATGTGACTAAGAAATGTCTCACATTCATCAATTCAATGAAAAACTTGAAGATTTCTTTTCTAGCCAGGGAGAAATCACATCTGAAGATCTGCCTTCTTTACGCAAATTTCTGATAATGAGTGATAAGAGTTTGTTGTATTTCTATGGGTTTCTCTCCAAGATGTGTTCTTTGATGTCGGATGAGGGATGAGCTCCTCCTAAACATTTTCCCACACTGAGGACACTGGCTGGGAGTCTCCCTGCTATGGAGTCTCTGGTGTACTGCCAGGTGAGAGTTCTGCTTGAAGGATTTGCCACATTCTGGACACTGGTATGGGGTCTCTTTAGTGTGAATCCTCTGATGCTTGGTCAGACAGGAACTATCCCTGAAAGCTTTGCCACACTGATTACACTCATAGGGCTTCTCACCAGTATGAGTCCTCTGGTGGCGGATGAGGCCGGCAATGTTCCTGAAAAGTTTCTGACACTGGTTACAGCCATAGGGCTTCTCGCCAGTATGAATCCTCTGGTGCCTGATGAGGTAAGCGCTCTCAATGAATGTTTTCCCACACTCTTTACATTCATATGGTTTCTCCCCAGAATGGATTTTCTGATGCACAATGAGATGAGAGTTGCGGTTGAAGGATTTGCCACACTCCGCACATTCGAACGGCTTCTCTCCAGTGTGAGTCCTCTCATGCTGGGTAAGGTATGAACCGTCTCGGAATGCCTTTCCGCATTTGCTACATTCGTAGGGCTTCTCCCCTGTATGGATTCTGAGATGCACAGAGAGGTGGGAAATGTCAGTGAAGGGTTTCCCACACTCGTTACATCTATATGGTTTTTCCCCTGTGTGAGTTCTTTGATGTAAAATAAGGGATGAATTTCGGTTGAAGGTTTTTCCACATTCTAGGCATTCGTAAGGTTTCTCCCCAGTGTGAATTCTCTGATGCTGTGTCAGAGCTGACCCATCACTGAAGGCTTTCCCACATTTATTGCATTTATAGGGTTTCTCTCCTGTATGGATCCTTTGATGCACAATCAGGTTGTAGTTCTTGGAGAAAGACTTTCCACACTCATTACAAGTATAAGGTTTCTCTCCAGTGTGAGTTCGGTGATGCAAAACAAGAGAAGAGTTCCGTTTGAAGCATTTGCCACATTCAGTGCATTTATACAGTTTCTCTCCAAGGTGACTCCTCCCGTTTTGATTAAGAGATGAACTCAGGGCAAAGATGTCCCCAAAGTCCTTACCTTCAAAGAGTTTCTTGTCTCTTTTCATTATTTTTTGTTCACCAAGGGAGGTAAAATGGTTGAAAGATGAAACACTTTCAGGGTTTTTATAGGGTTTCTCTCTCGTTTGGTTTCTTCCAAATTGAATAATGTCAATGGACTGGCAGAAGGCTTTTCCACAGGCATCACTTTCACCTGTTCTCTTAGCTGCATAAGCTGGGTTACAATCTAAACCTGTAATATCTGAGTCATGTACATGGAAACCATTTGTTGTGGGCACTATCTGAGATGGCGGAAGGTCTGAGCCTATATTCAGATATGCCTTGAATCCAGGATATTCATAGATGGCTTTCTGAGTCCCTGGTTTATCTTGAGTTAAAGCCATTTGTCTCAAATGTCCCTTCTGGTTCTTGCAATCCCAATCATCACCTACAGGAAAGAAACAGGGTCCTTCTCTTGTAAATCCTTCCATTTCCATGTCACAGGATAGTTCTTCTTCCTCAGGAATATTCTGAGCTATCATTTCCAGTCTCGAATTCCAGGCTGTAAAGAAAGGCGAAAAAAGAGTTAAATACATAGAAGTATTCCTTGAAGAATGGAAACCCCGGTGGCATAGTGGTTAAGAGCTACAGCTGCTAACCAACAGCTCAGCAGTTCAAATCCACCAGGTGCTCCTTGGAAATCCTATGGGGCAGTTCTACTCTGTCCTATAGAGTCGCTATGAGTTGAAATCGACTTAACAGCAATAGGTTTGGTTTGGTTTTTTTGGATTCCTTGAAGAGAATGGAAAATGATGGTGGAGCCAAGCAGGCGGGTACGTATTTTTACTTTTTTTTCCAAATTCAGATTTGTATGATAGACAAGAGAATGAGTAAAGAAAAAGTTCATAAAGATCCATATAGCATTTTCACACTCCTAGAAATTAAATATAGTGTAGCTAAAGTATCCAGCCCAGAGAGGGGAGGCAGGGGAGCCCAGGGGGGAAGAATGGTATTGGGGGAAAATATCAACAAAACGATTGGCCTGAGCCTTGGGAGATAAGAGGCTGGGCATCATCACTCACTCTGGAATGCCGTCTCAGTCGTCATGTTTTTGTCCCCATCACCCACTGCCCATACTGACAAGCAGTTCATATTTCTAAAGCCCCAATTTTACAATGTGCTTATGACAGTGCTAAATGCGCAGTCTTCACCCCAGCTTTGTGGTCAAAGTGACAATTTCTCCTGTAGGGGAAGGTAATGACAAACTCAGAAGTCATGTAACAGAATCATGGCAGTGTTTCTCAGAGGAGTCCAGAAACCTCCCCACCAGAAACACATCTGATACTTGTCATTCATTCCTCTGACCTGCTCCCAGAATCAAAATACCCAGGTCTCCCAAGGGATCTGGCACTCAGAATGTTAATAAACCACTGGACTAGGAATTCCTAGCATTTTCCTGAAGAGAACTGTGTGATAAACAGCCATTTCAAGCAGAGAAGTCTGAAAGATACACCTAAGACACATAGAAACAAGAGGACAGTATCAGATCAAGTGAAAAACATAAAGAAAAATCTAAATAACTGGCGAGTTGGAGAATGTGCATGAATACCATACAAAGATGTCCTTCTTCATTTAATTAAATCTATGAAGTCTATGCAACTCAAAGGCCTCCAAATGATTTCCTGTTGTACCTAACAACTGATTCTAGAATACACACATGGCAGGACAAACATGCAATACAAGCCAAGACAGTTCTGAAATGGAATAGGACACTTTCCTTACTAGACATCAAGACATAAGATAAAGTGACAATAACATAGAGCATGACCCTGGAAAAGAAATGGATAAAGATATAAATGGAATAAAATAAAAAGAATTAATATACATTAAAGGTGGCATTTCAACCAAACACATGAACTTCTCGATAATTAGTGTCAAGACAATTGGTTATAAATGAAATAAAATTAGGTCCTTACCTTAGAACATGTATTTTTAAAAATTACAGTTAAAGACCTGAACATAAAATCGAAGTTTAAATTATGTTGGATATCTTCATGACTGGGGCAGACCATGGTCAACAAGGCTTAACAAGCAAAACCACAAAGACAAGAATGAATATATTTAATACAAACATTTAAAATTCTCCTACATTAAAAAACACAATAACCATCAAAATACAATTGGCAAACGGAGAGAAAATGCTACAAAATATTAAAGTATTAATGCCTCAGATCTATAAAGAATTCCTACAGAAAAGCACATGCGCACACACACAGAAAAAGAAGAAGAGGAAAGAAGAACCAACGGGTAAGAACACAAAGAGCAATTAATTCATGGAGAGAAAATAAAAATGGCCTAAAAACATAAAAATGTGCTCATGTTCACCATCACTCAGGTAAATACAAACTGCAACTTTAAGAACACCAAGCATAAACATTTCATATGAATAAAAACAAAACAAGTGATAATATAAAGCCTAGGAAGGCCCTGTAGGAATAGATTTGGTGGGCGTGTAAAGTGGTCGGGCTGCTCAGCAGAGTAATTTGGTAGCAGCTATATAAACCCACCCAGTGGCTCCATGGAAGAAGAGACCTGGTGATCTGCTTCCGTAAAGATTACAGCCTAGGAAACCCTATGGAGCAGTTCTACGCTGTCACGTGGGGTCGTCATAAGTCAAAAATCGATTCAACGGCAACAATGTTGAAACATAAAATGGACACTCTACTACCTAGAAATCTCACTTGTAGATATCTCAGACTTAGAAAGCATGAGTCCCAAGCAGGATAAATGAACATCAATCCATACCTAAGACGATGATCTTAAAGGACAGCAAGGAGAAGACAGACCACTAGCTAAAGAATGAAAATTATCATGATGGATCACTTCATAGCAAAAATAAGAAACCAAAAGGTAATGAAAGATTACTTTCAAATACTGACAGGAAACACCGTCAGCTACACTATATTTCAAAAATAATGGCAAGATAAAGAGTTTCAGAAAACTAAAAAGAGTCTACCTCAAACAATACCAGTCACCAAAAAAATTAGAAAAGTTTGTTCTTCAGGAAAGAAACTAAACACAGAAGGAAGTCACAGAAAGAAAAAGAAATGATGAACGTGTATGTTAATCAACCCAGCAAAGACCATATAAAATGCAGCAATAATAATGACTCACTAAGGTCAGTTAACAACAGGGAAGACAAATACTGGACAGCAATGGCCTGTGAGATGGGAAAATGATAACAAAATCAAGTGTTCTGAGATCTTTATATTGTTTGTAATTGGTGTCAGACCTGGTCAAGCCAGGTATAAAGGAATAAATGTAAAGTGTATAACTTCCAAGCCTGGAGAGCAATGGTTCTCAACCAGGATAGTTTTACCTCCAGGGGACACTTGGAAATGTCTGGGAACATTTTTTAGTTGTCACAACTGGTGGGGAAGGGGAACTACCAGCATCTAATGAGGCTAGGGATGTTGCTAAACATTCTACAATGCACACAGCAGAACCCACCACAAAGAATTATCTGGCCCCAAGTATCGATACTGGCAAGGTGAAAACACCTTGCTATAGAAGAAGAGAAGAATAATAAAACCAGATCACAGAAACGACAAGTTAAGTAAAAAATATAAAATAGGATATATGTGTGTACACATCTGGAAATGAAAATACAAAACCACCCTGACAGGAAGCCTACCAAAGCCATGATCACACCTATCTCAGGGTCGAAGAGGGGAAGAGGTCTCGAGGGACAAAGGAGACTTCCATTTCATCTACATCATATTTTTGCACAAATAATGCACCTTCTACATTTGTTTGCCAACCTTGCCCTTCCTCCTCGAGATATTTTCTTAAGTGTGCTATGCTAATTTTTTTTACAGCAACATGTAAAAAAATTGGCATAACAGCGCTTACAGAAAATACCTCGCAGGAGGAGGGCAATGTTGGCAAACATAGAAAGTGTGTGCAATCTGCATAAAAATACAATAATAACATACCTCTTTTATTAAAGTAAGACTTAAACACCATCACAAAAGTGGAAAGACAACTCACAGAACCGGAGAAAATATTTTCAAATCACATCCAACAGAACTTGTATCTAGAATATATGAAGAATTCTTACAAAGCTCAATAATGAAAAGAAAAATAACCCAACTTAAAATATGGGCAAAGGATCTGAATGATATTTCTCCGAAAAATATATACAAATGACCAATGAGCATATGAAAAGCTGTTCAACATCAACAGCCGTTAAAGAAATGCACTCAGTAGGAAGGCTAAAATAAACAACAGACAAAAACAGTGTTGCCAAGCATGTGGAGAAATCAGAAATATCATACCCTGGTGGAAATATGAAGTGGGGCAGCCACTTCTGGAAAACAGTCTGGCAGTTCCTCAAAGGCTAAACAGAGAGTTAACACATATGACCCAGCAATCCCACTCCTAAGTATATACCCAAGAGAAATGAAAACATACATCCACATAAAAACTTGTACACAAATGTTCATAGCAGCTTTATTCATAATAACCAAAATATACAAACAACCCAAATGTCCATCAGCTGATGAACAGATAAATAAAATGCAGTATATCAACCCAATAGTATTCAGCCATAAAAATGAGGGCCTTATTCATGCTACAACATGGATGAACTGTAAAAACATTGTGCCAGACATAAAGTGAAAGAAGCCAGACACAAAGGACCACATATTATATGATTCCATTTACATGAAATATCCAGAATAGGTAAATACAGAGAAAGTATATTATTAGTTGCCTAGGCAGCAGCAAACGGGAAGTGGCTGCTAATGGGTACAGGGCTTCTGGGATGATGAAAATGTTCTGCAATTAGACAGTGGTGATGGCTGCACAACCTGTGAATATACTAAAAACCACTGAATTGTACACTTTATTTAGAAGAATGAATTGTATGGTATGTGAATTATATCTCAATAAAACTGTAAAAAATAAATATGACCTAAGTCAATAGGAAACCTGGTGGCATACTGCTTAAGAGCTACAGCTGCTAACCAAAAGGTCAGCAGTTCGAATCCACCAGGTGCTCCTTGGAAACCCTATGAGGCAGTTCCATCCTGTCCTATAGGGTTGCTATGAGTTGGAATTGAGTCGATGGCAATAGGGGCTACGCCAATATGGCAAATATCAGGAGTCCAGGTGCGGAGTACATGGTGTTTCTAACGTTATTCTCTATTCTTTACTTTAAAATGTTTTCAAGCTGGTTGCACTGTGTAGTGCTAAACCCAGAGCCTGAGGTGCTGGTCTTTATTCAGAAAATCTCCCGGCATTTGCTTGAGCCAACGTAACTCTAGATTCCTTTTGGATACTCTAGCTCAGGGACCAGAAAACTCTTTTAAATTCCACTCCTTGCAGTGATGATCTGTCTTTGGCAGCAGTGTCATTCCACAGCATTCCTTCAATCATCCGTTTGAGGAGGCACCTCCCCCTCCACCCATTGTGAGCAGGGACAAGCCCCATCCCATGCTATGATGAAAGACAATGTCACGGTACAACTGGAAATGTCACTATTTTCACAAATGTAAATGCAAAAGTAAAATCAGACACGAACCATGAGGACATCTGAAACCAAAAATTTATGACTGATTTATAAGAATTTGGATTTTCTAGCATCCTGTGGTATTGACAGTTTTAATCTGGTTTTCAACTGTCTGCCAGAACCCCAGCTGTGTACCCCTGTTTAAGCCTTTGAGAAAGACTCTAGTAATGTTAAGCCCAGATAAAGCCCCTGTTGGGCAAGGGGCACAGCTTTCCAGCAGCTTTCCACCTGGGCAGTAGTTCCCCTGGAAGGGTCTAGAAATCTACCAAGGTGTCTGCCTGTCACAAAGATGGGGCGGGTGTTCCTGGTAGTATCTGATGGGTGTTGGCCAGGGACGCTACACAGGTATCAACCAGGAGTACTTTAGGAAAGAATGATACTCCATGTGCTACAAGAAGTTAGGAAAAAGGCACCTTCATTTAGAAGGAAGCTTAGAGCAATCTGCCTAGAATTGATGGGCTTATTCAACACACTGCATTCTCTCTCCTCAATGGACGCTGGCCCTTTCAATTCCACCCTCAGTTACTGAGGGTCTGAGTGCCAAAGGGAGGTTACTGCAAAAATAAACAATTGTTAAGTATATAGGAGAACACTACAGATTTAGGCAAAATAGTATGAAGCTATGGCATTTAATGCAGCAACCCCACTGAATTTCATTAATTAAGGTTGTTTAAAAAATGACTCATTATGTAATCAATGTTACTGAATTGTCCTTCGGTGTGTTTGCTTGTTTTTGCGCATTAAGTGAAAGTTTACAGAGCAAATTAATTTCCCATTCAATAGTATACACATAAAATGTTTCATTACCTTGGTTTCATTTCCTACAATGTGTCAGCACTCTTCCCATTTCCGCCCTGGGTTCCCTGTTTCCTTTTGTCCTGATTTTCTACCCATTCCTGCTTTCTCGTCTTTGCTTTTAGGCAGATATTGCCCTTCTGATCTCCTATAATTGACTGTTATAAGGAGTACATTCCTCTCGAATGTTACTATTTATCTTACGTGCTTGTCTATTGCTTGGCTGGGAGGTGGCCTCCGGGAATGGCTTCACTTCCAAATCAGAAGGGTGTCTTATGGCCGTAGTCTCGGGGGTTCCTCCATTCTGTCAGACCAGTAAGTCTGGTCTTTTTGTGAATTTGATTTTTTGTTCTACAGTTTTCTCCCGCTCTGTCCAGCGCCCTCTGTTGTGATCCCAGAGAAGTTGGTAGTGGTAGCCAGGCACCATCTAGTTCTTCTAGTTTCGGGCTGTGTAGGCTTTGGACTAATCGCTCCCTTGAGTCTTTAGTTTTCTTCACTTCTTTTGCTCCCTTGAGTCTTTAGTTTTTTTCACTTCTTTTGTTCCGAACAGGAAAAGACCAATAGTTGTATCTTAGATGGCTGCACAAAAGCTTTTAAGACCCCGGATGCTACTCACCAAGGTAGGATGCAAAATACTGTCTTTATGGACTATGTTGCGCCAAATAATGTAGCTGTCCCCCAAGTCTATGGTCTTTTGTCTTCTAGCCTAGAGATTTCATCCCACGAGGTGTTTGTTATGTCTAAGGGGAGTCCCCAACTGTACCTCTTGTGTGCTCTATATGAGCCACATCTACAGTTAAGTATGTAGAAATATCCACCACCAAACCCCTACCTGCCAGTGGGTGGGTTCCTCTACATTCTCCCTACTGTATGTTTTTGCTGTGCATATTCTCAACAAAACATAAATTATTTAAAATATAATAACTATTACCCACCTACATGTTTATGTATTATTTTTAGCAATACAATGGTACAGAAACTATGTTGTAAAAAAATCCATATTGATGCTATTCATGTATCTTACAGTTGTTTTTTCCCCCATTGTTCCTCTGACCCTGACCCCAGTATTGCTGATGCTGTCCCCAACAGTCCTTCTGCTCTCCATCACCATCGGAGGGGGTGGTCTCCAAGGCTTTCTATACACTGAACACTGCCCCAGCACATGCTGAGACTTGGGAGACTAGAGAACTGTTTTCTGTGATAAATTGTACTGACGTTGTTTCAAGTCAGAACACAGGAAGTAAGTCACCGTCCCCCTGTGGATGAGACCCAGATCATCTGGACCCCCTGGGCTGCCTGACCGAGTAAGTGCTTAAAGCCAGCTTCCAACAAGGTACCCTCTCTCCTCCTTTGATCCTATTTAACCCGCCTGTTCTGTGTCCACTTAACCCATTACAAAATATTGACTATAAAAATTAGCCATTTCACAGTGAATTTATGTCAATTGGGGACAAATAACTCAGAAAAGGAGGGTGAGAATGTTGCACAGTTCAAGAATATAATCAATGCCACTAAATGGTACATGTAGATAGTATTGAATTGGTGTGTGTTTTGCTGTGTATATTTTCAATAAAATTAAAAAATTTTTTTTTAAATCAGCTATTTCAATTCAGATAAGGATAGTGCTAATGGTTGCACAACATGAACAATGTAATCAATATCACTTAATAAGACATGTAAACAATGCAAACAGTGTTGAATTGGCAAACGTTTTCTCATGTATATATTTAACCACAATTTTTTTAAAAGTTGGAATTATATAAAAATTAACTCAAAATGGATTATAGACCTAAATATAAAGCAAAAACTATAAAGCTCTTAAAAAAACAGTAATAAATCCTTGTGACCTTAAATTAGGCAAAACCTTCTTAGATATGACAACAAAAGCACAAACAACAAAAAAAATAAATAGGATCTCATCAAAACTAAAAACTTTTGTGCTTCAAAGGATGCCATATAGAAAGTGGACAACCCACAGAAAGGGAAAAATATTTGCAAATCATATCTGATATGTGACTTGTATGTAAAACATATAAAAACTGTTACAGATCAACAATAAAAGGCAAATAACCCAATTTAAAAATGGGCAAAGGATTTGAATAAATTTCCCCAAAGATGATATACAAATGACAACCAAGCACGTGAAAAGATGCTCAAGATCATCAGCCATCAGGAAAATGCAAATCAAAACCACAATGAGATACCACTTTACCAGATATGAATGGGATAAACACCCAAGAGAACTAAAAACATGCCCACCCAGAAACTTGTACACAAATGTTCATAGCAGCATTATTCATAATAGCCAAAAAAAGTAAAAAAAAAAAAAAAGTCCACCACTTGATGAATAAACAAAATGGGATACATGTTGTACATGCTACAACACAGATGAACCTTGAAAACAGTATAAGTGAAAGAAGCCAGACACAAAGAGTCACGTGTATGATTGATTCCACTTACGAAATGCCCAGAAAAGGCAAATCCTTAGACAGAAAGTAGATTATTGTTTGCCAGAGGAAAAGAGAAAGAATGTGGAGTGACTGCTAATGGGTATGTGGTTTCCTTCTGGGGTGATGAAATGCTCAGGAAGTAAACAGTAGTGGTGGTTGCACAACTTTGCCAACATAGCAAAAACTACTAAATTGTACATTTTAGAAGGGTGAATTGTGTGGTATGTGAAATATATCTCAATAAAGCTTTTTTTTAAGTGGGCCTTGAGTCTGTCACATTTTTGGTGCTTTAAGACTTTATGAGAGAACAGTTCTACAGGAATGCACTGAGCTTGTAGAAAATTCCATTTCTACAAGCTCATGCATGACAGGCCTTAGCCCATCACCCACAAAACTGCAGAAGGTCCACTCATGGTACCTGGATACTCAACATCAATGGCTGCCAGATCTCAGTCTTCTGTCACCATCCACACAATTCCTGCCATCTCTCTGGGCCACCTGTGATAGAATTTGGGTGATTTGTTCAATTGATGTACTGTTTTACAAAAATCAATTGCTCACCCCAACTTTAGTGTTGCTGTTGAGTGCCCTCAAATGGTTTCTGACTCATAGAGATGCCATGTGACAGAGATAAGGTTTCCTAGGCTGTAATCTTTACGGAAGCAGATCACAGGTCTTTCTCCCGAAGAGCTGCCAGATGGGTTTGAACTGCCAACCTTTCTGTTAGCAGCGCTAAGCACTCAATCACTGCACTGCCAGGACTCCTTCTGCCGCCAACTTTAGCCTTGTCCTAATAATGTCACTGATCTGATTATCTAGTGTGATAGTCTGACTCCATTTTTTAATGTTTGATTGCTAACAGCTTTCAAGCCCCCCCTTCTTTCCCAAATTTGGGCAGGCTGATAAGAAAGCCCAGGTGCTGTCTCCTTTGGTACTGGCAGGAAGTTCAAACCATCCAATCCTCAGCCCCACCACCTTCTCACAATATAAGTTGAGTCATCCAATCAAAAAATGGGCAAAGGACATGAACAGACACTTCACCAAAGAGGACATTCAGGCAGCTAACAAACACATAAAGAGATGCTTGCAATCATTAGCCATTAAAGAGATGCAAATCAAAACTACAATGAGATAATATTTCACCCCTAGAAAACTAGTACTGATCAAAAAAACAGAAAACGACAAATGCTGGCAAGGTTGTGGGGAGACTGAAACTCTTATACACTGCTGGTGGGATTGTAAAATGGTACAACCACTATGGAAAACAGTATAGCACTTCCTCAAAAACCTAAAAATAGAAATATCTTATGATCCAGCAATCCCACTCCTAGGTATATATCCTAGAGATGTAAGAGCAGTGACACGAATAGACATATGCACACTTGTGTTCACTGTAGCAGTATTTACAATAGCAAAAAGATGGCAACAACCTAAATGCCCATCAATGGATGAATGAATAAACAAATTGTGGTAAATACACATAATGAAATACTATGCAACAATAAAGGATAATAATGAGTTCATGAAACATAACATGGATGAATCTGCAGGACATTATGCTGAGTGAACTAAGTCAAATAAAAAAGGACAAATATTGCATGATACCACTTTTATAAACATCAAGAATAGGTATATACACAGAAAGCAATGTTCTTTGATGGTTACCAGGGATGGGGAGAGGCGGATGGGGGAATCATTTGCTAGAGTGTTGACACATGATAACTCTGGTGATGGGAAAGGCAATACACAATATGGGGGAAGTCCCTGACCAAGGTAGATGAAGACTCTGAGAAGTACATAAGAATAAAGGACGACTGTTATAAAGATTGAATTGTGTCCCCCAAAAATGTGTATCAACTTGGCTAGGCTATGATTCCCAGTATTATGTAGTTGTCCACCACTTTGTGATCTGATGTGATTATCCTCTGTCTTGTAAATCCTAACCTCTATGACGTTAACGAGGCAAGATTAGTGGCAGTTATTTAATGACGCAGGACTCAATCTACAGTATTAGATTATATCTTGAGTCAATATCTCTTGACATATAAAAGAGAATTGAGCAGAGAGGAGCCATGAAAGAAGCACTGGGATCGGAGGGCATCCTTTGGACCCAGAGTCCCTGTGCTGAGCTTCTAGAGCAGGGGAAGACCGATCACAAGGACCAACAGACAGAAAAAAACTTCCCCTGAAACTGGCAATCTGAATTCGGACTTCTAGCCTCCTAAAATGTGAGAGAATAAATTTCTGTTTGTTAAAACCATCCATCTGTTGTATCTGTTATAGCAGCACTAGATAACTAAGACAACGACTATAGTAAATGCTATAACATATGCAATCTTGCAAAATGGTAAAAACAAGCAAAAAATATGTGAGTGGTTACATAGGTAGATATGTATTCTATATGTGTGGGAGGCGTATGGGAGTACATGCGCATGCATACAGGCGTACCTCAGAGATATTGCGGGTTTGGTTCCAGACCACTGTAATAAAGTGAGTATCCCAATAAAGCGAGCCACATAATTTTTTTGGTTTCCCAGTGTATACAAAAGTTATGTTTACAGTATACTGTAGTCTATTACGTATGCAATAGCGTTATGTCTAAAAAAAAGTACATACCTTAATTAAAAATACTTTATTGCTAAAAAAAATGCTAATCATCATCTGAACCTTCACTGAGTCATAATCTTTTTGCTGGTGGAGGGTTTTGCCTTGATGCTGATGGCTGAGGATCAGGGTGGTGATTGCTGAAGGTTGGGGTAGCTGCAGCTATTTCTTAAAATAAGACAACAATGAAGTTTACAGCATCGATTTACTCTTTCTTTCATGAAAGATTTCTCTGTAGCATGAGATGCTGTATGACAGCATTTACTCACAGTAGGACCTCTTTCAAAATTGGGAGTCCATTCTCTCAAACCTTGCCCCTGCCTTATTAACTAAGTTTATGTAATATTCTAAATCTTTTGTTGCCATTTCAACAACTTTCACAGCATCTTCATCAGGCAGATTTCATCTCAAGGAATCACTTTCTTTGCTCATCCGTAAGAAGTAGCTCCTCATCCATTAAAGTTTTACCATGTGACTGCAGCAATTCAGTCACATCTTCAAGTTTCACTTCTAATTCTAGTTCTCTTGCTATTTCCACCATATCTGCAGTTACTTTCTCCACTGAAGTATTGAACGCCTCAAAGTCATTCATGAGGGTTGGAATCAACTTCTTTCAAACTCCTGTTAAAGCTGACATTTTGACCTCCTCCCATGAATCACAAATGCTCTTAATGGCATCTAGAACGGTGAATCCTTTCCAGAAGGTTTTCTATTTACTTTGCCCAGATCAATCAGAGGAATCACTATCTATCGTAGCTACAGCCATACAAAATGTATTTCTTAAATAATAACATATGAAAGTTGAAATTATTCCTTGATCCATGGGCTGCAGAACGGATGCTGTGTTAGCAGGCATGAAAACAACTTTAATCTCCATAAGAGCTCTTGGGTGACCAGATGCATTGTCAGTGAGGAGTAATATTTTGAAAGGAATCTTTTTTTTCTGAGCAGTAGGTCTCAACAGTGGGTTTAAAATATTCAGTACACTATGTTGTAAACAAATGTGCTGTCTTCCAGGCTTTGCTGTTCCATTTACAGAGCACAGGCAGAGGAAATTTAGCATAATTCTTAAGGGCCCTAGGATGTTCAGAATGGTAAATGAGCATTGTCTTCAACTTAAAATTTAAAATGCAGCTCATCTGCCCCTAACAAGAGAATCAGCCAGTCTTTTGACTCTTTGAAGCCAGGCATTTGACTTCTCCTCTCTAGCTCTGGAAGTCCTAGATGGCATCTACTTCCAAAATAAGGCTGTTTCATCTACACTGAAAATCTGTTGTTTAGTGTAGCCACCTTCATCATTTATCTTAGCTAGATCTTCTAGATAATTTGCTGCAGCTTCTACATCAGCACTTGCTATTTCATCTTGCACTTTTATGTTATGGAGATGGCTTCTTTCCTTAAACTTCATTAATCAACCTCTGCTAGCTTCAATCTTTTCTTCTGCAGCTTCCTCACCTCTCTCAACCATCAGAGAACTGAAGAGAGTTAGGGTCTTGCTCTGGATTAGGCTTTGGCTTAAGGGAATGCTGTGGCTGGTTTGATCTTCTATACAGACCACTAAAACTTCTCCATATCAGCAATAAGGCTATTTCGCTTTCGTGTGTTCACTGGAGTAGCACTTTTAATTTTCTTCAAGAACTTTTCCTTTGCATTTACAACTTGGCTGTTTGGAACAAGAGGCCTAGCTTTTCGCCTATCTCGGCTTTCAACATGCCTTCCTGACTAAGCTTAATCATTTCTAGCTTTTGATTTAAAGTGAAAGACATGCAACTCTTCCTTTCACTTGAACATTCAGAGGCCATTCATTGGCCTAATTTCAATACTGTCATGTCTAATTTTATTAATTAGCCTAATTTCAATATTGTCATGTCTCAGGGAATAGGGAGTCAGAGGAGAGGGAGAGAAACTATGAAATGGCGGTTGGTGGAACAGTCAGAACACACATTTATGGATTAAGTTCGCCGTCTTATATGGGCACGGTTCACGATACCCCAAAACAATTACAACAGTAACACCAAAGATCACTGATCACAGATCACCACAACAGATATAATAATGAAAAAGTCTGAAATATTGAATTACCAAAATGTGACAGAGACTCGAAGTGAGCACATGCTGTTGGAAAAATGGCACCAACAGACTTACTCAACGAAGGGTTGCCACAAACCTTCAATTTGTAAAAAACGCAGTATCTGCGAAGTCCAATAAAGCAAAGTACAATAAAGCGAGTATGCCTGTATATAGGTATATTTGTGGGCATACGTATACACGTTTGTATACGCTGCATATATATTCATATATACAATAAAGTATACAAGGGGTACAGTTAGGGGTACTTCGTAGACATATCCAAACACCTCGTGGGATTGATTTACTGGGTTTGAAGGCTCAGGACCATAATCACGTGGACAACTAGGTCAACTGGAATAACTTATTTCATAAAGATGATGTTCTACATCCTATTTTGGTGAGCAGCATCTGGGGTCTCAAAAGCTTGCAAGCAGCCATCTACCAGTCTCTCCCCATCTAGAGCGAAGAAGAGTAAAGGAAACTAAAGACTCAAGCTCATGTGAACCTCAGCCTTTTCTAGTCTGACACCATAAGAACTAGATGGTGCCCAGCTACCACCACCATTCAGACCAGGGACACAATAAAGGTCCTGGTTAGAATGGGAGAAAAATGTAGAAAACTCAAATTCCTAAAAAAGATCAGACTTACTGGACTGATAGAGACTAAAGGTATCCCTGAGACTACCGCCCTAAGTCACCCTTTTAACTTGGCACTGAAGCCACCCCTGGGGGTCACCTTTCAGCCAAATAATAGACTGGCCTATAAAATAAACAATAACACCCATGAGGAATGTGCTCCTTTAATAATCAACTACATGAGACCAAATAACATTTACCCAAAAGGAAAGATGAGAAGGCAAGGAGGGACAGGGAAATTGGATGGATGGAAACAGAGCAGGTAGGGTGGAAATGGTGAGAGTGCTGACACGTTGCAGGGATTGTAACCATTGTCACGCAAAATGTGTGTATGAACTGCTGAATGGGAATCTAATTTGCTGTGTAAACTTTCACCTAAAACACAGTAAAATACTCAAAAAAAAGCTGAGTCAGTCTTCTTTCCTTGCTTCCTCAAGCCATTTTTGAATCTACTTGGAAACCACACTGCTCTCCCCAGAAAGCTTCACTATGTGACTAATAAACCTTTTCATCCCCTCTCTGCGTGTGTGTGTGTGTGTGTGTGTGTGTGTGTGTGTGTGTGTGTGTGTGTGTGTGTGAGAGAGAGAGAGAGAGAGAGAGAGAGAGACATCAATCTCGATACCCAAACCAAAATTCAGGTGGGAGAGTCACCCTGCCTCTACAGGGTGGACACAACATCTAGTTATATTTTTTTACTTCACATTAAAGGAAATACACCCTCTCCTCAGTTATTAGCACGGTTAGGTGCCAAAGACTAGGTCATTATGCGAAATCAGCATTACGCAAAAATGGAGGATGACCACGTCATTACATAACTGCCAAATTACCGCGTTACATAAATGCCAAACCACTGAGAATCACAGCCCAGCCAAGCTGACACATAACCTTAAACATCACAGCCAGCGTTACTCTTGCCTCGGACCTCAACGATCGTT